CAAGATTGCATTTTGTGTTTGGCAGCTTTATTGATCTTGAGAGTGAATTATACTTGACATTGTAAAGTAGTACAACGCAAAACAGATTGTTGATGTTTTATTCAAGTCATGGTGTATTGGCAGTGCATACATATATCCAAACTACAAAAAACACTCAGAATTTGATTTAAACAAAAAACAAAAAATTCACATAAAATCATTTGAAACATAATAAAATGCAATAAAAATTTACCAACACCATACAAAATTTTGTCGGCTTTAGTTGGCAGAATATTGGTCACATGAAACAAATAGTAACAAATAAAAACTAACTCTGTAGCATTACTGCAGAATTTTTGATTAATTTTATTCAAAAACTGTGTTAAAAAAAAGTTCAGACTCATGCAAACAGGAAATAATTGCTTCTTCAGTTCAACATCACACAAGTGGCTCTTCCATGACTTGAAGTGTAATTATAACTAAATTATTTACTCACCAGCAACTTAAAAAAATATCAATTGCTAGTAAAATCCTCATGATTGATGTTGTGTAAATAATCACATCATCTTTCTAGTTAGCTGTTCAGTGACACAGTAGCAGCTAACTTACCCTCCATGTGTCTCACCTTCACCGCTTCTGTCCTCAAGAATTGTGCTCAGGCGCCCTCCTGAAAGTCAGGCAGACTCATTTCACGAAGATGAACACCAGTGTCAAAACGTCCTGTGCTCTTTCCTCTCTGCTAATTCTCCCTCGGTCGCTCTCCCTTGCGTTCTCCGTCTCTGTCTCCAGCTTCATATCTTGATGTCTCGCTTGCTCTTCTGCTCTCCAAGCTGGTGTGTGGGGTTTATACATTGGCGGGGCTGCGTGCCTTGGTGACAGCATCGCTCCATGTGTGTATGTGTGAGTGTGTGGTTGTGTGTCAGTATGTGCATGTGTAGGATGAAGTGCTGTCTCCCTCTTATGCGTCACACAGGCAGACACACTTGCACTTGTGGAGGGGGCGGCTGTTGTGTAAGAACCGAAGGCGCCGTGGGAGTCTTGAGTGAATTAGATCTGGGCTTTCACTCTTTTACACTTCATAGAGTGGGTGCTATGGCATAGTGGAGCACTGCTGCAGTGTGTGAGCATATACATTGTGTGTGTGTGTGTGTGTGTGTGTCAGTGAGGAGGTGGAACAAAACTGGATGGGTCATATAGAGACCCTCGGCACTCCTTGAGCGAGCTAAGCTTCTTTTTTTGTTTTTCTGTGCATGTGTTTCCACCACTGTGAGGAATTACTGTGAAGTATGTGGGAGTAGGAGCTCCTTTTCAAAGGTACTTGACCTGATGTCAGTACTCAACAACGTTTAGGTCTTTCATACAAGCTCTTGCCCAAGTGAAACGTTATTTGAGAGATGGAGTGGACATTATGTAAATCCTAAATGAATGCTGGTATCTAACAGCAGAGTTGCATAGCAGAGGGCCGAGTTATATTTCAGCTCTGAACCATCAAGTAGCAAATGTACAAGTCTTCCACACGTGCCTCTGCATCATGAAATTCAATCACATTTAGTCACCTCTCCTTATCTCTCATCTTATTGTCTCATATGTCAGTAAATGGACCAGATTAGGCACCGGTCAGTCTGAGTAATCTCAGATTACAGCTCATGTGCCAGATAGTTGCTTTTACATCTTCTCACAGGGAAGTGCCAACCTCACGCCTGAGTGTCAGTGCTGAAGCAAAGATGGATGGATATTTCATCTTGTTAAAATATATATACCTTCACAGTCACAATATAATGTTGCAGATTTAGGTCAGACATAATGAATTTTCATGTCTTCACATCCGGCATGAAGACATTAGCACTTGTCATACTGTTTCTTTAAACTAGAATGTTCCTGTGCTCTGCAGCCCTGCCATGACAAAACACTGGGAGGCTGAGCTGGAGGCGCTAAAGGGGAACAATGCCAAGCTCACGGCAGCTCTGCTGGAGTCCACAGCCAACGTTAAACAGTGGAAACAACAACTGGCTGCCTACCAGGAGGAGGCTGAGAGACTACACAAACGGGTGAGGAAAGGGGCACAGGGACACTTGCTTGGTTTCATGTGTAATTTATTCACTCAAATCAAATACTAGTGATCATTTGGAAAGGATTGTGTGAAGTCAAGATGAGAGGACAGGAGAAAGAACAGAGACACGAGGTAGAGTACAAGGAGTACTATGGGAATGAAAGATATAGTTGGATTTAGATCAGGTTTCTGTTACAGCCATCTCTCTCTCTCCACAGATTTGAGTCATAACATCCATTTTGTCCTTTCAGGTGACGGAGCTTGAGTGCCAGAGCAACCAAACTCCAGTGATCAAATCCCAGAAAACTGAACTCAACCAAACCATAGAAGAACTGGAGGCTACACTAAGGGATAAAGAAGAGGTGTGTGTGCGCATGGGTGTGAGACATAAGGGGAGTGGCTTGTCTTGAAATGTAGCGACTGACTACGTTCACATTACACAGCCTTTTAATCTGTTTTCATGTCTTCCAGGAAATGGAAAAGTTGAAAGAAGAATTGGAAACCATGAATGACCTGATGGAGCAGAAAGACACTCTTAGCCAGAAACTTGAGGTGGGTGAAAGAAAGAGGTGCTCTTCCCAAAAATAACACCTGTCAAATACATCAAACACAGTCTCATGTATCCCAGACAAGAACAGCCATTGCCCACCTAATAACATAAACATGGCAACAAAGCTGTCTCACTTCTTTCAGGAGACAGAGCTACGTAGTCGGGTGCTCGAGGAGCAGCTGGCGGGTGCAGAGCAGAGGTTAGAGGAGAACCAGGAGGAGCAAGAAAATTTCAGGAAGAGCCTGCGAACGCTGCTGGAGCTGCTGGACGGCAAGATCTTTGAGCTGACAGAGCTCCGAGACACCTTGGCTCGGCTCATAGAAGAGGCCAGCTAGAGACAGAACTGCTTAATCTTCACTGACAGAGCCATATTGATAATTTACACCCTAACAGCCCCAAATGACCCACAACCAACCCTACTCAGCATACTCCATCTTCCTCCTACACTCCACACACATTCAAACTGAGACACTGCACTGCCCTGATTTTAATTTTGCTCCAAGAGGGCAGCTAATCCCTTGTTTTTACCTTGCAGGCATTGAGGTCTAAACAGCCACAGGCTTTCCAGTAGTTCAAGACAATGCAGGGACTACCTCATTTTGCCTTCTGATTGGCTGCTGTGGGCGTAGACCTCAGTTGAATTGATCTCTCCAGTTGTAGAGATGCCTGTCTGGCACCCTGTAACTGCCCCCCCATCCACCCACACAAACAAAATGGCAAAGTGTTAACTTGAGAACTGTACCTCAGTGCCATCTGCTGTTTGACTGGGAAAGCTGCACCTTAGTTTGCAGCTTCTCAAAGTCTCACTCACTCACACACACCCTTTCTTCTTCCCTAAACTGGCCCCCAAGGAGAATGTTGAAAGTCATGTGGAAATAATTGCTGTAAAGACTCAGAGAACTGCGCCAAAGCTGCCAAATACCCCCAAAATATTATGCTGTAACTAGCAGATGCTTTGATCCAAAGTGACTTAATGTACAGAGAAGTACTGAACAGAGAATCCCATGTTTGAGCTGGGGCTGCCAGCAGAGTGTCACTGAAAAGAGAGGCTTAAAGGTGGCCCTCACCAAACCAGTCAGTTTTACCTATCAGCCCGGAGTGACATCGATGTTGCCTGGACACACAAGACTGATAGAAATAGATTTACTCCTTAAGCAAAAATTAAAGACTGCTCTATATCCACAGCCTATTTAAAAATCCTACACGGTAGATGGGTATGAATCTTCCAGAGGCATTGTTTATGCCACACACATTTTTGAGGCTGTGTGCCTGTGTTAGATTTGGCATGAGAATTCCTGTATCCAGACTGCTTCCACCGCCGCAGACGACCGACCTGTCTTCCTGCCAAACTCAGTGCGACATGTGTTTCCAAACAAGGCTTAACCCTTCGACAGAATGTGTGCCTTTAAAGCGCACATAAAGTGGACACATTTGTATATAATGTGTGTGTTTTGTGCTGTGAGAGAAAGACCCCGTTTTTGAACATCAAGGCTTACACACACACACTGAGCAATACCAGACAGGCTCTGTGCAACACCTTTATCCAACCCCATCAGGTATTGTTCTCAGAGGACTCGTGCAGATGGGTCAAATGCACCTCAGCTGATCCGACAGAAAGCGTACTACTGTTGACCGCGAACCTGTGTGGCAGCCCTCTCTGGTCGAAGTAGTGCATCACGAAGGGCTCACAGAGCGTCACCTCCTTGTTTGAATACGTCCACCCTTAGTGAAACTGGTCACAGATTTTCACTCCTCACTCTAGAGTGAATAAAGAACTGTACTCAGTTTCTAGTAATTTTTACACAGAATATAATAATGATGATATAATTATAGAACTGTATAAGACAACTTTCTACACATGATGACATTGTAAATGAATGGATGGATAACTCAAATGCAGTAACGCCCTGCAGTGGCTTATTGTTGTGTATTAACCCATGGAAAAGTACTGCATAGTAATTATGACAGAGTGTCTAGTCTGCAGGTAAACAATGAAAACCTCTTTCAGTATATATTTAAAATGTGTAACAACACAATGTAAACACACAGTGTCTCATGTTCTGTCCCAGAATATACGCTTTTAAAGCTCTACCAGAGTAAAATCCAAAACTGCATCTTATCTTCCTTTAAAATTACCAAATTTCTATAAAGCTACTGTATATACTCACATGAAAAGCCACTTGTTTTGCCTCTGAATTGAACACTGTTCGCACTGTGTTATTACACTGTTGTAACTCCGCTATATGTCAAGAGATTTTCAAGTCCTAGCACAGCATAATTCTGCACTAACATACTGTAGTTAGTCACACTGGTTAATACACTGGAATAAGACACATAGAAAAGGAAATGTTACCTTTTTTCCCTTCTGGTTTAACTTTGACAGTCAAATGACAGTGATGGAATACCTTAATATTAATGCTATTGTTAATGAATGCCTTTGTACAGTAGTGGATAAGAAGCTTTTCATTCTCCTGTTTTGTAACTTAAGGTATTTAAATGTAGGTATTACTATTATTGTATTTAGAGGTATGAGAAAACTGGCAATATTTTTGACTATTTAAAGTAATTTTGAACTAATGATATTAAAGAGGTACCTCAGGCTAAAGATGTTTGTAGACTGGTGAGACTTGTGTGTCTGATGGCAAAAGGGTTTCCCAGATGACCAAGAGACAGGCTGGTTGGAGCTTTGGCCAAAAGAAATCCTTTGTTTTATTCAAACAAAGAGAGACCTTCTAGGCTGAGAACACACCTCTGTGAATGGAGAAATAATGTTTTATACTGAAATACAGCAACTGCAGAATTCAACATGTGCACATCACTTTTCCTCTGTTTCCTTTTTTAAATTAAAAGCACATGATTGACTAAACTATTCAACAGCGAAAAAGACAATCTTAGAATTTGCTTTGTAGCGTTTTATTCAAATGCAGGGGCAAGGTTGTAAATAAAATAAGAACAGAATAAATGACCATGACAGGAGTAAAGGCAAAAGGTATTCTTGTAACAGTGTGTCTATACACTACTGTGTAAAACAACTGCAATGTTTAATACAGCCCATGGGATTAGTCAGTCTGAATTGATTATCACCCATGAAGTAGTTTCATCCTCCTTCTTGTATTTTTCTATACTATATTGCACTTCTCAAGTGACTGACTGGGTCATATACAGGCAGCCTGTGTGGAGAACAGGTCTAAATGGGAAATGTTCAGAAGCAAACACATTACAAAACAATTTGGCTGGAAATGCTTTAAATAAAAAACAACAACAGAATATACACACTGTAATGAAATGCAATACAAAATTACAGTTAGCTGACAAACAAGCTGTGTTAATGTTATTTATAGATAAAGGTCAAAGTACACAGGACAGTGTGTTTCTAAGGTCAGTTAGGTGAGAGTTGGTTCATGGCAAAGGGTTTGAGCACAATGTTGGTTGTTGTTTGGTGGAGCAACATAAACCTAAGCACTAATATCTTTTGGAAACTTGCCTCCGTTAAGACATCAAAAAAGGTATGGACGGGGTTAGGTTCAAGAGTCAGATCAGGGTCAGATGTCCGTCTCGTGCCACATGATGAGGGTACCATGTAACAATATTGTGCTGACAGTGACAGAAGACATGTAAAAGTGCCTCAGATTTGTTCTGCCACAATAATAATAAACCCTCTTTAGCACTGAGGTCTATAACAGACATACTGTACCTCCATTCCTGTTCTTTCTACATTAGTGCTTGCTTCATATTTCATCTGCAAATGGCTCTCAACGCAAGCACAAGGGGAAAAGTATGATTCTTTGCATCAAAGCTTCTTAAGACAGGGCATGCTGAGGCTGCTCCCGACTCCGCATCTTTTTACTTTGTGTACGTTTGTGTGAATCCATGTGCTGATAAGCATGTCACTGGTCCCTGCATCACACTTCCTTAGGTCTGATTCCACATCACATTCAGTGCTTTTGACCAAAAAAACAAAAAGGTTGCTACTGTACAGATTAAATGATTGAGAATGTGTAGCAAGTCTCATGAAAGTGCTTAAACTATTTCTGAAAAAACGTAGTAGAGACTGTGGACTCACTTTGCCACTGATATGTTTCTGCACATGTCAGCTGTGAGTTCAATGTGCAAGTCCATGTGTGCATGACTGTAACAGGCCTCCTACTGTGTGGTTCTGCCCACTGAGAGCAAAGAAATGTGATAAGATGCAACAGAGGAGAGGAGAGAACGTGAATAAGATGGCAGGAGAAACCACATTAATCACGACCGCCTGCTCCACAGCCCACAGTGACTCCCTGCGGTGCTGAGAGAATCGAGCCTCCCACACACCACCCATCATTCAAACAAGCATGACCAGTTTGACAACTCTGCCGTGAATAACCCACACACAAAGTTTGGGAATCACCAACCAAGTCTGCCCACACTTACACGACTGCAGACACTAGCCGTGACCGCCACCTCGCTAAAGAAACTCTACAGCTCTACTGATAAATCTTCCTCTACTCGAGGCCACCAGCTTCAGGTCAGAGATGTTGTTAGACGGGGCACCACATGATAAACTTATTCACACTCTGGGTAGCTCCCAAGAGCCCAGCCTTATACTGCAGCCAAACAGATGAACCGATACATATTCCCTCACCCAAAGAACGGGAGACCAGAACAGGACAAGAGTGAGGGAGGGGCACAAGTGTGGTGCGACAACCTACAGGATTTAAAGTATTTATGCAGTGTCAGATTAGACAAGCAGTGTCTGACACTACCATACCCACACGATCCTCGCTCTCACTCGTGTTATCTATTTGTTTTTCAATCTCTCATATAACCCCAAATTTCCAACCACATCCACATAGTTTTTTTTTTTTGAACGGTTTTATGTTTCACAAATAACTGCAAGTGCAGTGTATTGTGTAAAATGGCTTATGTGCTGTACGTAAATGTTGACACAAAGGGCCAGTGCAAAGCTTTTCAACAGTACAACTGATAAAAAAATATAAAAAACAAACATGGCATCACTGTAGTCTGATCAGAGGAACCACAGTGACCTACAGCAGAAATGATGAGAACACAAAATCATGTCCTACATGGTTCTGAACGTATGTTAAAAACTAAATGAACAGGTTGACCATAGACCTTTGAAATACCTGGTGAGTTGGTGATATTCAGTTTGACTCAGCCACTGGCAAACTCACAAGACATATGTGGGACCAGGCTGTGTGTGTTTGAGTGTAAGTGAGCAAGTAACTGTGTGTGTTTACAGCACAGCTCAGCACTCTACAGTGCATTACATTACAGTGTATACAGAGGGTGCAGGCATCTGTGTGTGTGTGCGCGCATTATGTGTTGTGCCTAAGCCTTGAGCCCTAGCTTTCCCAGTCAGGGCCAGCCAGCCCATCGTCATCCGAGTCAGACTCTGGTGAGGCCTCCTTGATGCGGCGCAGAGCCTCATGGATGCTCCTGGTCAGAGGGTCAGTGGAGGCCCTGAGCTCTCCCTGGTCTTTTCTTTCTTTACAGGGGACACGCCTCAGTTTGACCCCCTTGCGAATCTGAGCGAGGATGTTGTTGGGGTCATCGTCACCTTTGGCAGGAGGCAGCGAACGCTGCTCGACTTTCCTCAGGTGGAAGCTGCCTCTCTTCAGGGAGGCCAGCACCTCATCCATGGGTGAGCTCACTGCATGCAGGGAGGGGACAGGAAGACAGGGTTTGATTGGCTACTGTCACTAGCAAATCTAATAAAGCCATGAGAAACTGCTATAGTATTAAGTATTCCCAATACCTCTTCTGCTATGGGGGTCAAACTCTGGAGTCTTCCTCAGCTTTTTCCGGGCGCTCACCAGTTGGCTGCTGTCAAAGAATCGAGGGATGAATGGGCCGAGTGGGGAGAGACAGAGCTCCTGTGCTGCACTCTTCCCCCCAGTCTTCTGCCCTTTGTCACCTCCTGGGCTCCCAGGAGGTGACAATTCCTCTTTCGTTGGTGGGGGAGGTGGAGGGGGTGGTGGAGGAGGTGGGGAAATAGGAGATGACAGGAGTGAAGACAGGGAGCAGGGAGAGCAGGAGGAGTCTGCGGGACTCGGCACAGGCAGAGGAGGAAGTGATGCTGTGCGAGCTGTGACAGGCTGAGTGGTGAGTGTGGTGCTGGGGTCTGTTTGCACACTGGTGCTGAGACACAGCGGCTGGCCCTGCGTCTGGACACAAACAGAGTCCACACGCTCCTCCCTCTCACTCACGCTCATTTCCATGCTCCTTCCTCGTTCTCTTCTTCTGGTCTGGGCCAGGCGTAGGCGAGTGGACTTCAGAATCACCTGACCTGGGTACCGCTACATAAAGATACAGCGATAAGCTTGAGTCAGTCAGTAAGACAAGCATGAGAAATGCTGAGTTGAATGGTTACAGTTAAGAGAAGGCACATACCTGTTTAAAAGTCCGCAGTCTGTCCAGCGTTTTCTGTCTCTCCTGACTCACCCTGCTGTTCTTCCTCTCCTCATCTTCCTCTTTTTCACTTTTCAACTGGAATATTTAAGGGTTTAGAGGAGAAGAGAATTATTACTAATAATAGTTTCCAGGTATTCAGCCACATCGATATAAACATATGTACCTGTATGACCCAGTGGGGTATAGACTCCTTGAGGGTGGTCTGACGTTTCTGCTGTTTCTGAGTGTGGTTTGATACACAGATCTCCTGTAAAAACAAATCAACAAACTGATCCATACAGTATCATTCACAGTGCCAACATGACAACAACTGCAGAAACAAAACCTTGTAGCTCAGTGTCATACACCATATTTGAATAAATAACATTTTGGAGCAGTTTACTCTCATATAACTTGTTGTACAGTACAACAGGCAGTTCTGACTTTTTGAATAGTCACTGGGCATTTGGGATAACAGGTCAGTGTTTGCTGCAGGTTTTTACATTTTACACATTAAACGTACTAGCTACTGATATAATGAGACATCTTAGCAAAATCCAATATTGTTAGTTGCACTACATAACAAAAATAATGAAACTCTTTATACATAAAAAAAAACCAATCTAATCAACAGCAAAGACGGGATGAAGAACAGCCCATGTGAGCACTGACAGCATGTAGCCTCCAGCATATGCGCCAGGAATGGCAATAAGAGCGCGAGTAAAGGATACGCACCCTCTTGTTCCTCAGGTAGGAGCGCTTGGCAGTGATGCGCCCCCTCCTCGCCTCCAGCTGTCGAGCACTGACCTGAAGTCTGCGCAGCTCTTGCCTCTCTGCACTATCATCCTCTGTTATATCATCTGCACTTTCAAAGGTGTCGTAGTACACAACCTCATCCTGACACTCTGAAAGCACATATGCATAAATATGAAGACTTGTGCTGTGTGGTGTGTTTGAGGGACACTACACAGCACTATTATACAGAGTAATAATTCAGACTGTCTAGTAGCAGGTTCATGCACAGCCAGTAGTGAAAAGTAAAGTTATGAATAATTTGAAATGTCCTGTCAGGACTCTTGAAAGGAAGATAATACATGTGAAGGAGCTTATCCTGTAAACAAGGTTTGTCCAATAGTTGCTAGTAATGTTGTCCAAAATAAGGCAATACCTGTCATCTGTCTGCGAATGCTGTCTAGCTGAGCAGTGAGGAGCAGCTCTTCACACTGTAATATCTCAGCCTGAATGTCATACAGTTGGAGCTGGAGCTCGTAGTACTGTGCCTCCATGTGGTCTAAGAGGACCATCGCGTCCTCGCCGCTACACAGACACTGGATCTGAAGGTAGGTATGGAGACAAAGGACTAAGTCACAAAACAACTGTGTGTGTTGATGTCTGCTTCATATGATGCTACTACTACCCCACCTCCTCTCGAAGTGTGTGTTTCCTCTGCTCCAGACAGATCTCCCTGGCTCTCTGGAGCTGCAGGGTTTCTTTGGCAACAGAGTAGCGCAGTCTCTCCATGCGCTCCACCGCCGCCGTCCATGAAGATTTACCAAACTTGCGCTGGTCCACCTTCATACGCTCATACACCCCTACACACACACGCACAAAGCTCAATGCACACATGGCCGAATGAAACTTCCACACAGTTAAATCTATGCTCACAAACACAACCAGCTTTTTCATCTGGTACCCTCCCTAAGTGGGCATGACACACACAGTTTCTTTAAATTAATGACTGAAGTCTCACAGAAGAAAAGCTTTACCACAGCACAGGGTGACATCTACTGGCTGCATTTGGACATTACAGGTTTTCGTCTGCACTTCCAGCCACTCACTTATTTGCTTTTTGATCTAATAAGTGTCAGATAACAAATCGACCAGTCAATGGTGGAGAGAGACTGGGAGAAGCAGGGGAACAGTGAGGCGTAACCCTGCACTGAGAGAATCTGCTGGCAGAGCTGACTGATCAATAGGCTGTCCTTGTTTCCTCCTGTCCCTGTCAAAGCTCGGCTGTCTGCACTGGCTCATTAACTCCGAATCACATTAGCTCTGCTGTTCATAACTACACACAGGTCAATAGCAGACCAACGCTACCGCTGCGTGTGTGCATTCTCCACTGCTGCCTTATTGACATGACATTGGCAGTGACAGTGATGACATACTGCACCTTTCTGAGCTCTGGCAGTGATCTCAAAGTATTTCACAGTGAACTCCTGGATGTTGAGGACTGCCTCCTGGGCTTTCTTCTGCCAGTCGGAGTCTTCCTTTTTCAGAGCTTCAATCCGTCTTGGGCCCAAGTAGTCATTCTCTATGGAAATCTGTAAAGTGAGGATGAACATATTTTTGTCAGCAAGACTAAGAACCATGACAGTGAAGTATGGCAAATATTTTTTCTATGACATAAATGCATTTTTTTTATTATACATTTATAAAGAATGAATGAGGAAATCATGGGATACAAGTTGTTTCACTTGTGCTGATTAAAAAGCTACAGCATGGCAGTTCCTGTGTACACAGGACATCTCAGGCAGCCTTGCTAAAAGATGATGCTTAAAGGTGCATTTACAAGTTCATAGTCAGATGATAACACTGCTCCCTAATAATACCCAGGAGTCGTTAGGTGGTCATGTACATGATGGTGCCCTTCACACACTGAAGAGACTGAGTTAAACGCTGTGAGATGAACAGAATAAGCTAGAGAAGTGCACTCAATCTCAATGGTTTCACCACAGTAAAGAGGCCTGGAGAGGGAGCTCCACTCCCACACATGGAAGCAGCAGCAGTATACAAGTATTTTGCAGATACAGGTCACAGTGTGCACACCTAAATATGCATGATACCACTGTGGAAACACAAAATTTTCACACCTTGGAGAACCACTTCTATTGCAAATAGTAGTGTCAGTGTCACAAGGTCCACAAACCCATTTTAACTAGCTTACAAAAACATGATCACCATCTAGACTGAACATAGAGAATTATTATTACAATGAATTTAAAACTGTAGAATTGTTTGTTGTTCCTAAAGAGAAAAGAAAAATAATGTAAGCAGATTATTTAAACATGCATTAAAACTTAAATCACTAATGCCTGTAATATGACAGCATGAGACACTTTCTCTCTTAATTATTTCACTGTACAACCAGTTAAAGGGAGTTAAGGGCCACACTGAGAATACGACTATTATGTCACCATAACAATACACGACACAACAATATTTGGCCAATTAAAATATTTAATTAAAGACAACAATCTGGAGTATTAACTAGCAAACGTCCAAGAGGAAAACAAAAGATTTCAATGCAGCACAAGAAGGAAAGGGAACAGCAAAGATTATTACATCCCTGTCTGGCCCTAAGTAAACTCGCTTCACCTCAGCTGGCGCGGCACTGCCCAGCGGTGCACCAGTATCATTTAGCCCTGCAGTTTCCTGCTGTCACGTTGCCAGGACTCACTGCTTTGATTTTTATTTTTTGCCATTGCTATAGCTTGTTTAATTTGAGCACTTTTGACTTAACATCCTGTGTTACCGTGACCGTGAAGTTACCAGCAAAATGCGACAGAAAAAGATAAACTCACAACAAAGGAAAATCAGAGGAAGATGATCCAAAGAAAGCTGTGCTGTGTCTGAGCTATAGACACTGTGGCTATAAATAGATGAGGAAGTGCCAGTTTAATCCTCCCTCTCCCCTCTTCTCACCAGTAGGATGTTCCATGGTGTAATGGTTAGCACTCTGAATCCAGTGATCCCAGTTCAAATCTCAGTGGGACCTGTAAGCATTGTAAACCTTTACCCTCCTCAGGGGTTCCTTGTACTGACATTAGTGAACAATAACGTACCGCAGTGAAAACCACAAAGTGCACCAGAGTTTGCTCTGGCAAAACCAGATGAGTACTGACGGAGTGAGGACGTTTACTCAGCCACACCTAAACCGGAGGGCTCTTTAACTTTGCTCTTAATCTTTCCATTTCTGCTGCATGCCTGCTAATGCCGGCATCAACCTGTACTGCCCATAGGACTACATGCAACATGACTTATTTATGTTTCTGTGAGACTGCAGGAAACAGGAGCTCCACTGAGGCTCCATTCCAGCTCACAGCGTGTCACTTAACCCCCACCTGCCACATCTCAGAAGCCTTTCAGATACTGTGGAAAAGAACCAAATTAATAGGAAGATGCTTATTCCAAGGCTGTGAAAAGCTGTGTTCTTTGTTGATGAGGTAATGTGACACTGAGGCATTTTTATTACTGATGTGCTGTGTGTGAGTCAGTTAGCTAAATATAAATGTGCTATCAGCACTGCAAAGACTGAACAAAGCCTTTCCACCCTTTATCCATTCACCAGCCTTTCGCTTCTCTTTGTGATTAGATACATCTCACCCCCTCCCATTCTTTTACCAACTGTAAGGAATATACAAGAGAATGAAAATAGAGACCACGGTCAAACATGCACATACACACAAAGCAGAACCTATTTTAAGAGACATGAGAATTTCTTGTGAGCATCCATTATGTTTTAGGACCGTTCCAAGTCAGTGCCTGTAGAGAAGTACAAAAATACATCAATGAATCTGTGTAGTAGCCAATTTACTACATACAGGATGCTAGTTAAACATCTGAATAATCTCTGGAGTAAAAAAAAAAACCCATATGATTCACATGGAGTCAAACTTCCAAAAACAACACTAAATTATTTTTTGTCATGTTTGGCTTTTTCATTTTCTCCAAGTTGGATGACACCAATACTACGATGCTTTTTTTTTTTACTATGGAAATCAACTGGTCATCTGTGTTTTTGAGTATACTGAGTACTTTTCAGTAGAGCATTGTGATTCAGAAAGTTCAGGAGGCTGGTTTAGTAAAATCGCACCGAGGTCTTGGCAAATTCCTGGTTCACTACAGGTCTGGGGGTCAAACTCTGTTCAGTACTTAAAATATGAAGGACACCCCTCTGTCTCCTGTGGACCAAAGCCTTTTAGTACTTCATTTTACCTTAATCTGCTGTCTGCATAACATTGCTAGTTCCCTCATGTCTCTGAAGGGCTGCAGGAGGTACTGGTACAGCTGGGTGGAGGCCTCCAGCAGACCCCCATAGGCATGGTCTTCTTCCTCATATAGCTCCAGCAGCTCCACCATACTGTCCATAGTCTTATGCTTCTCCAGCAGCTGCATTGCACAAACACAAAAGGTTACTTTTACTACTGTCAACATATAAACAACTTTCAGAATACCAGAACAGGTCAACATTTGTAGCCCCTGACAAGATCTCTGTAAGACCTTGTTAATAATACAGTGGCAGAAGGGGCTTCCAAAGGCATCTGAGAAACAAACATAAAGACAGAAGCATGTTGATGAGAAAATATAAATATATATTCATTGAACTGTCTGTCATGTACAAATAAGAGTGCACACCAAGCAGTGGGTGAACATACTGTAAGCAGCTGTAATGTATTCTACTGAAGTAATGGCTGCCTGTTGTCTGTATAGTAGGGTTACATTTATGTCAGGTAACCCATCAGAAGTGTACAAAAGTCAGAGGACCCTTACTTAAATACATTTTTCCATCTAGCTATCACTGCATCTAGTGTTGTCACTCATTACTAAATGGCCATTTACACCTCACGGGGTCACTATGAGGATGATTTGTGTAACTGTAAATACTAGGAGTATGTGTGAGTGCACTCTGTCAGCGTAGAGACCATGGCTGAGTGAGCTGGGGTTCTTTCTGCTGCTGGGAATAAGATCAATGCACACACATTTTTGCCAGACTGAACGATCCTGTAGGCTAGCAGCAAGCACTGAATAGCCATTAACTCAAGCCACAAATGGAGGGGGAGGATCGATAGGCACATGTGTGTGTAGTCTAGTATTACTCTATAATGTGTACAGACACATTGCTGGGACTTGACATCCTTTTAGGGACAAAGAGCAAGTCCGCACAATGCACATTTGGTACATTTTAGAGTGATGACTTGGTTTCAGGTTATGGTAAGTCTCCAGGAAACGAATATAAGTCAATGTAAAGTCCCCTGAAGTGATGGAAACACAACATCTGAGTGTATGTGTGGGAGATGGACAAAACAAACTTGTAGTGGGATGTTCACACATCTGTAGTGAATGAGTGTTTGAATGACCTACAGAGCACGGTCACGACAGACAGAAGAGCTAGAGCTGGGATGAAGAGCTGAATAAGATCAGTAGCTCTTCCTTCATCCGCGGGATAAATACGCTTTAAGGCTATGTGGAAATTCCAAACAGTGAATAAGCTCTAGCTGGTTGAAGCACATTCTGGGAGACTGATAGCTCTGCTGTTTGATGTTTTCTTGTTCAGGAAGGGGAGCAAGGCAACACTTCCTGTGTCTGGTTTTCTGTCTTTTTTTTCCTGTGTGTGTGTGTGTGTGTGTGTGTGTGTGTGTGTTTGTGTTTCTGAACTGTGTAAATGGGTGTGGGACTGACTGGGTGGAATAATGTGGATGATTTTTCAATGCTACTCACGGCTTCTTGTCTCTGCCAAAAGCAAAACAGTGAGGAAGTCTCTTGACGCTGTCTTATTTTTGTAGTGACAGTAAACATACACTGCCCGTCCACTTTAATAGTCACACCAGTACAACTGTATGCACTTCAATGCAACATGTCCGCCTTGTGTTTGTGAAGCTCAACCTATTTCAGTTTTTGGTGAAATTGTCACAAATGTATAAATTCAATTCTCTGTTGTTTATTGAGGTCATAGTCAAAGGTGGTGTTGTACTGGACTACATTATATGTAGAGGCGTCTTTATATTTTTGTCCTCCCCAGCTACATACATACATGAGAGGGTCAGAATATTAGTGTGTGAACGATTATCATTTATTCCATAAACACAGGTAATACCCAAAGTTGGTCTACCAACCACCATAATGGACCAGAGTAATAGTGTGATGCTAACAATGGGAAACTCCATTAATGCTCTCGCTCACCTGCTCTATCAAACGACTTCCGGCTCCATGATTGAAGGACCCATTAATCTAAAGCCACTGTTTATCTTAAGAGCAGTTAATCAGTTACTAGCTGCTGCTGGTGTGTAAGAAGAGCATGAGCATGAATGTGTTCACTGTGTCACTTATAAGGAAGCACAAACTTGACTATGTCAATATTTTGCTAGTGTTGGATTATATAATATACATACAGAAGTTTCATATGAATATTACAGCTTAAAAATTTTTTTTATCTTTTAAAAATGCATGCAGAAGTCATATTCACTATCACACACTGGCTGTGTTGGCAATGCCAAAAATCAGTAATGCAGCAACGTTTTTCATCCTACCAAAAATGTTAATCACAGTAAGAGTTTGTTTTTAGTCTCAGTAGATGCTCTGAAAAGAAATAATATAGAGTAGCTTTGAGTTTGCTGTTTTTAGCCAACTAAAACACTGCACCCTCTGGTGCAGACCACAACTACAGGATAGATACTCTTGAATATTTCATACTGCTTAATAAATATGCTGTTTTCAAAGAGAAATGTTATCAATATAACACATTTATCAGTGCTTATCAAACTGTTCTCTCTTGATCCACAGATTTGTCTGTTTCCGCCAAAAATCCATGCATTTTCTTGTACGTTCCAACAGCAGAAACACAGTACATTTAACAAGAACATGTGACTAATATCAAAATTTGTAACTGAAAATGTTAAAGACCTGCTAAACATGCTGACTGTATTCTGAACAGTGACTGTGCATAAACAGTAGGTAGAGCCCAACCTGTGCACAGGTCAATTCTAAAAGGAAACTGCTTGTACTGCATTTCTATGAGTGTTTTTGTATGTGTGCAGCAGTGGGTGCAGCAAACAGCAGTTACTTACAGACATGTCTGTGTAGTTTTGTCTTGCAAATGCTTACAGAGGTCAGACTGTGCCTTGATTCATATGGTAACCTCTGGTTGTTTCTAACTTATAGTGCAAAGAGAGATTTATTATTTGGTTTATCCTACCTCATAACGTTCACATGCTGATCTTACCTTGGATGGCTCACATACCTGTACACCAACACAATAAAGTTAAAGCACTGTACACAACAGTCAGTGACCCCACATCTACACTCGGTTTAACAGACACATCTGGTGCAAAGAAAACGATCCTATACCACTTTGGTCTAAGATGAAATGAAATCAAATAGATCAGATAAGAATTAAAGTGGTGCTTAAATTATACTTCTTTTGTAATTGTGTGACTTAAAGTGAAGATGAATGAATATAATTGTTCACCCATTTTTGTTAACTTTGTCTGTGTAAATTGCATTGTTTTGTACTAAACTGGATAGACTCATATGAAGTGTATTAAAACCGTCTTGCTCAGACTGCATGGCTGCTGCATCACACCTCCTTTCTACTCTGAAGCAGTCCAGCTGGTCTGGTCAGTACAGCAGAAAGACAATGGTTGTACTGGGATACTCCCAGTTGTCCAAATGTACCACTGTATAAATGTCATTTAAAGAGAAGGGAAGCCCATAAAGTCATGGAGATGAGGAAAACTCACCTCTTGCAGATCTTTTGTTGCACGGTTGAGCGCCTCCTCGTACCCGGACTGCTTCAGCTCGCTCAGGCTCTCATAGTACTCATCTGGGTCATCGTTTTCCGTGAACAGAACCTGCGAAAGGATCTTCCATCCACATGTATCGAGCGCATGGCCCAGGTAAACCTGTAGATTGTAACACAGTTCATCCATTTCGGTTTCGGATACTTCAGTCGGGCCGAAAAGCACAGTCCACATCCCTGCGGGTTCCTCCGGAAACACCGGGAGGCAGGGCTCCAGGTCCGAGTTGACCGAGCACAGCTGCTGATGGATCGCCCGTAGGTCCTGGAAGGAGAAGAGTCCTGCCCAGCTGCAGTCCTCCCGGCTCAGGCTGTCCAGCTCCTCCAGGTCCAGGCTGTCCAGCGGCGGGAACAGCTGGTCCTCCCTTAGTGATTTTAACGCCTCGGTATCAGGACTTACGGGAGATGCAGCAGGTTTAATGACAGTTTGCATTTTGACAGGACTTGGTTTTGCTGCTATGACGGACTTGGTTTTAGGGCTGCAGCCTTTAACCGCAGCCTCCCTGGCTCCTTTGCTAGGGCTCCTAGATACTTTATCCCGGACGGGACTTTCGGGCCATTTTGTTCTGTCCCCATCCAGGCCAGTGGCCTCTGCCAGAGGGTCCCTACCAAAGCTTCTCCTCTGCACCGTCCTGTTATGACATGTAATGGCAAATTTGCCCTCCACTTCATTCCAGGCGACGATAAAAACGAATTTATGCTTTTCCCTCTCTTCAAACGCATTCGGCCGAACGGCTACCCAGCCCGACTCCAAATTATCCTCCATTGTGAAGGACATTTCTGCAAAGTGATAGGGCCAATAATAACGCCAACTCCGTTGGCACTGAGTCTTAGCAGTGATTACCAAACACCGTGTTCTCTCTGAGGATATTTTGCCTGAAGGGCTATCCTCCTTCGCTCGAGCGGATGGATTTGGAGCAATGCGGTGTCATTTCCCATCTCTGGCCCACCTGCCTTCACCTCGGATGTCTGACTGTCTACCCCGACCACCTGCAACCTTTGTCATTAGCTTTCCGACCACACAAGGCTCGACTGTGACACAAAACATGCGACCGTGTGTTTACCACTTCCAGCAGTGGATCCGCCTGTCAGTCGTGCTCCGTTATTCTCAATATCTCGGCTACAGACCTTTCTTCTCATCATAAAGTAACAGCGGGATCCAAAACCAGCGACGTACATCGTTCATATAGACCAGACTCAGGTCCTGCATAGGCGTGACAAGGGGCTTTGTACAGTCGCGATGTCTTCACAAAGATTAGCATCGTTTCCAAACTCATAACCTCAGCATGTTTTCTTCATCGTTTGCCCATATACGTAAAATAATAGTGCTGCCTTCAGGTCCTGGGATAAATATCGGAATTACTCAGATGCCCGCTCAGAGACATAAAATAATGAATCACGTAGCCCCTTCAAGAACAGCTCTACAGGTTATTTGTTTCATTTGTCATATCTGAAGAGTGCTCTCCTTTTTATTTAGATACTCAACAGCAGAAGCAGCAGTTGAATTTTTTTACTGTCAACAGGCATTTATCATTATTTTGATAGTGCCATAATCAATTTAATATGTAAGAACTCGTATTAATATTGTCGTTATTGTCAAACACGTCCTACATTTAAGTGTAATCCACAAACACCTGTCATTATTGCGAAAACGGCGAAGTGCAGTTTCTCTATTTTGAGAGTGGTGCTTAAAGGCAACTTTAGAGTCTCGTCTGGAGCAGGGCACGTAGAAACGTGCTGACGTTTGGTGTCGACTACCGTGGGATGTTTTGCAGAGGTCTAGCTGCAGCACTAAGAAAGACAGCTATGTATGCGAGCAAGCAAAATAAATGAATAATAGTTATAAGAAAAAATGAACGATACAACTCCTGTCTAAAATAAATAAATTAATAAAGAAAATAGATAAACCAGAATCTTCTTGCTGTGAGGCCATGACCCTTGCAAACAAGTCACACTACACTTATTAGCTGCACTCGTCTTCACCCCAGTGCTCAGCCATGCTCTTTGGCCACAGGGCGTCTCACGTACAGTTCACCTTTACTGGACTCATAAAGGCGAATAATCCTGTATCCAAATTTGTGACCGATCAGCACTAAAATCCAATCAGTTGTTACTCCTGGCCTGCGGGGGGCGGTGCATCATTTTGGGAGGCTAAACATGACGGGTGTCGTCACTTCCTGGCGGTTTTTTTGGTAAGTAAAACTGTCTTAGTCCGTGGCGTTAGATCTGTGCGTGCAACCGATAAGGGTTATTATGCTTTGTTTTGTTATTGGTAAACTGTGCTTCATATGTGACAGAGCTGCTGAGTGAATTTTTAAGTTATTGCAGCCGTTTTAATTAGCAGCTGTAGCTGGTTCCTGACGTGGCGTTAAGGAGCAAGGGTGACGTTACCGTTAACTGTCAGAGATGAACAGGTCATTTCTGTGATGTAGTTAGCAGGAGAATAACGTTAACGATAGTATCTGACGGTAATGTTAACCTCCACTATATTTACACTTGCGGGCAGCACAGCAGCGCGGTGGTTAGCGTCGTTGCCTCACAGCAAAAAGGTTCCGGGTTGTTTGTTTACATGTCAGCCCTATGATAGACTGACGACCTGTCCAGGATGTACCCCATCTCTCACCCAGCGTCAGCTGGGATTGGCTCCAGTCCCTATTCAGGAATAAGTGATATAAATAATGGATGTTTCCACTTGCTGTTTTTGTCTTTTTTATATATTAACCTTGTATTTATCCTGAACTTTGATTATTCAGTATTATTCTCCTGCAAGGTTTTTGCTTGGATAATTACTTAGTATAAAATTAAGCAGCACATGAGTAGTAATTCTTTTAGGGCAACAGTTCTAAATCGGTTCAGGGGTCATGTTCCTTGGGTCAAACCCAGAAGGTCTGACCTAGACTTTCTTTTGATTCGTCCCTCCAGGCACCTTCATTGCTTTGTGATGGACCCATCTGACCACATGGCTACTATCAACCACAACATGGAGGCTGTGGCACTGAATGATGATGCTGCTCCTGAAGGTTCCGCCAAAGAGCAGAATACTTCTGCTGTTGACTTGCTGAGGTTCTTCATTCACATCTACTTTAACACTTCTATTATTATTCAGTTTACAGTGGCTAAGTGCTGTTTTATGTGATGAGTCACATCCCAACACCTCACTTCACATACAGTTGCTTAATGAATCTTTATGATTGCTGAAATGTCTTTCTTTTCAGAATGAAACAGCAGATGTACAACCAGTGCTTTGAAATCAAAGTACAACTCCAGGCAGGTATATAACTGTGCATTATGTCCATCACATTGTATTTTCATTAAACTCGCAAACTAGCAATGTGCGTGAATTATTTGATTCGTTGAAAAGGTCAACAGTGGTCAAAGACTGGGAAAAATGATCAATAAATTTTTTGGAGGCATTTATTTTCTATGTCATAGAGAAGTGAAACTAATGTTTTTGACACTGTTTCTGCCCATGTACTACACACACACAGAGCAGGCAGCAGATATGTCGGCAGATTCAGCCAAAAAAGCAAAGTGTGCCGTTATTTTACTCAGTTGGACAACAAAGTTGACTGCTCATTGTGCAGGATGATGCTCTCTTTCCACGGTTCTACCAGCACGATGAAGAGTCATTTACAGCATTGCCACAAAAATGTTGAGCTTCAATAGAAAAAAGATGAGACAGAGTGACAACGAAACATGACTAGATTTGTTGCACCTAAATGTCATCTCAAGTGACAGCAAGCGACAGGAACAAATACCTGCTACTTAAAAATTTTAATGATACTTGTGGATTGATATATTTTCCTTAAATACACTCATGTTGCCTCGCTGGTTGGTGATGTCACGACTAATCGAATAATCGACTTAAACTGGCTTGATTAAAATAAAAAATAAAAAAATTCTAATGTCCATCCATAACACAAACAAAGCATTAATATCAAGTTTCCTGTAACAGGAAAAATAAAGGAATCACGCAGCACATCTGAACCCGAAAGACACTTGTAAGTATTTAAATAAGCCTAATGATGCAGATCTAGAATTTGAATCAAATGTGAGATTACAGTTGGTTTCAGAATTTACACTGTTAACGTATGTTGTTGTTTTTTTTCATCACGTTCCAGACCAGCTTGTGTCAACAATCTGGAAAGAGTCAGGACGGATTATTTTAACAGCACATTGATACTGCACAGGTAAAGTGATTTAGAGGTGTTATTCTTTCTTTATTTTTGGTGGTGAATGCTGGATGTTTCTAAAAGTAAATTATAATATTTAATCTGGAAGAAATGAACCCTGGTTAACGTTGTTCATTTATTTCACTGGTGTCTTTCAGAATGCAGATGTGGCATGCTATTCGAGAAAAGCTGAAACAGAATGATTCACAGGCTGAGTGCGCCAACTCGCAACATAATGAAAAAAAGTCAGTTATTTTGTTAAAATATTTTTGTAATGATAGTTTTTGTCTTCTTTTTAGCGCACTGATAGATGTGGGCGATCGCTGCATGGCTTCATGTTCCCGTATAAATCAACTTCAGAATGTATGTAACACTTAATGACTGCTTCATTGTCTATTCACTATTATTGTTAAGTTTGAAGTGTTTTTGTGTATAAAACCGTTTCGGGCTGTGATTTGATAGATAAAATGTCTTTGGACTTTGTATATCAGGCTTTTATGTTGCTGTCTGTTAACGCCAGATTTGCTGCTGACATTGTTGGGCCACTGTAGTCACTTCTCCCAGTAGTTAAAGCTGTTTCTGCAGGCCAGAGAATTATGTTCAGTGCTCAGGTATATCGAGGTGGTGTCTTATTGTTGGAGCTACATTTCTGAAGAAATATTTTGGTAAATTATTTTTAGTAGGTCATGAAAGCCTTACAATGAGCTGGTTTCCCTTAGAAACTCACTGACATTGCTCACGTCTTTGAACTTGCCTGGTGTGTGACAGTATCACTTTCTTTTTGATTACATGTTGATTAATACAGATTTAATTGCAGTTGATTAAATTTGAAAGAAGGATTTTGATTCGTCCAGTTGGCTGCTGATGTTTCCTTGCAACGTTCATTCTAACAAATTGAGGTAACGAGTTTCATACCAAAATCTCTTTTTCAACAGGAGTCAAGAGCTCTTCAAGATGAAATTAGAGAAATACAGAAGAAGAGACTTGGTACGTTCTGAGGTTTATAAGCATAAAAAAAAATGAAACGAGTTTTGTTACTGCTCCATGTGCTAAAGAAATCACTAACAATGACTTCTCTGTATTGTCAATTATTAATTTGTTTTTGTTAAACTAATCACATAATTGTTTTGACTCTAAATTTGCCATGAACATTTTGTGTTTGTAGAGATGAAACGTCTCACACATGAGAAACTTAAAGAGGTGGAGGAGTTGATGTCCAAGAAAGAGCATCCAGATATAGAGAAGTACAAAGCAGCTTTGGCCAAAGGCCAGGAAAACCTGGAGAAATATAAAAAGTTGACTGTCATCACACAGAACGTCCTGAGGGTAAATTGTACAGGAACTGTATAAATGAAAATACTCAATCTGTCAGAACAAAGTTTGAGAATGATGAATGCATGCAACAAACTGATGTATGTGTTTCTTTTCAGGGCATTCTGTTGGCATGTCAAATAAACTGGCTGGATGATCCCAAACTTCGAGACATTGCCATGACACTGGATGAGTTTCCTATTCCTGACTAGAGAACAAATTAATTACCTGTTTTTTATGTTTCTGTACTGATTTAATCAATATAATGCAAATAATAAAACTTTTAAACCAGAACCATGATTTATTTGTATTAGCAATGTTAATAGCGTCCAGTTGCCAGTAGATGGCGACACAGGAAGCAAGGAACCATTTTAAACCGCCATACCAGAGAAGAGGACCACGTGTTTTCCGACCATAGATGTGTGCTTTTGAACAAATGTTAAAAACCGAGTTTCTGGATTTTCAGTCGGAATACAAACAGGTAAAATGCCGAAGGTTAAAGCGGAGAAGAAAAGCAGGCAGCACCAAGAAGTCAAGAACCAGGGTATGTTCTCCAAGACGCTAACGCAGAACTTAATTCAGATAATTAATGTTTAACACCGTTAGCGCTATCGGCAAAAGCAAATGCATATACGGCGTTGTTTAATATACTTGTCAGGTGTCTTGTGGTTATTTCGGCCCACAAAGTGTCCATCAAATTACCAGTTAATGTCACAACTATTGCCATTCACGTCCCAAGTTGATGAAACATGACCATGGCTGAGTTTTGTTCTCTGCATTAAGTGTCTAACAGTATATTAGTTATACAAAGCTACCAAATCATGTTTAATGCAGACGCCGTTGGCATACTGGCTTTAGCCTATTTAAGAGCCCTTGACCTATTAAAAAAAAATGTAAATTGCAAGCGTAGGATGTATAATCGTCTTACTTCTTAGCACTACACAAGTCTACAAGATCCTGTTTGCTTTCTGTTGCAGGGATCATGTTCAACACTGGCATCGGCCAGCACATCCTAAAGAATCCTTTGGTTGTCAATAGTATCATTGAAAAGGTAGGCTGTACTATGGTACGGAGAGGATCATGTAGAGTTGTGTTCTGACACACACAAGCATCATATAAACAAGAGGACTCAGACAGGCATGTAACACCCACAGCCAAGGCACATTTGCTCACCAAATGGGTCCTTCATGAAAAATGAGATCCAGAACAACACAGTGTGTCCTCAAATCTTCAGTCTGGATCGGATCCGGATCATCTTTTTGGGTATGATAGGCAGTTATACTTTGCATCTTCCCCAAACCTTTCAGGGCTTTATCTTCATTATAGGCCAAGTTATGGCAGAAAATATGCATTAAATGGGGTTTTCACTTAGTCTTAAAATAAAAAGTTGTATAAGGGTGACAAAGTATTAAAACGCAATACACAAAAATAGGATAATAGTATTTCCCACAGCAAACTTCAAACATTGCACTTAGTGATTCACATGGTGGAGTTGGATATGTCATTACGCTTGGTGAGGTAGTGAGGGGCTATAACATCTTAAAACACAGTTTAAATTCAGGACTGTTTCCATTGCTTGGTAGAGAATGTCCTGCTATTACTCAGGTCCCACAAGAGAACCCTGTTGATGAGATGCTCTAACAAAAATACCTTGTGGAACATTTTTATATTATTATTGTGCATGCCTAGTAAGGGGTTATTGTGCATGTCTAGTAAGGGGTTAGTGCACATATATTCTCACATTTCTCATATTTTCGTATTTGCCATCAGTCTTACTGCAGCAGGGAAAAAGCTGTTGTAAAGTCTCATTCTGTGTGTGATGATACTGTCCGCCCTGCTGTGCCTGAGGCTGTAGGTGCAGTTTTTGTATCTGAGTAGGGTATGAGCTGGGTGGTG